CGTAAAGTAAGTTTAGGTAGTATACTCTTCGTTCGTTGTTGTAGTATATATACTACTACTAGTAGTTACGTTACTTATTAGTGTACGTACTACTTACTTATATATATATATATATATATATATATATATATATATAGGATGAAGATAAAAAAATAGGTGTACCCTACTTGGGCCACCATATGGGAAATGTGGCTTTCCTTAGAGAGAGAGGCAAATACTTCCCATGGACGAGAGGCAAGGCCTCCACTTAGAGAGGAGAGAGTTTTATGTAGAGAGAAACACCATGATGTGTCTCTGTAGATTGAGAAACTGGTTTCTTTTAGAGAAGCGGTTTTCATGGAGAATTTGGGTGGTTTCCCTTTTTAGTGAGAGAAAGTCTCGGTTGGTCTTAAATGTCTTTTCTTGGACATTGGTTTAGCTGTAGAATAGAGATATGTCTCTTCTTGGATAATGGTTTAACTGAAGAATAGAGATGAGAGATCGTTGGGTCGTGTCGATCGGGAAAGCGGGTTTAAAAGGGTTTGCTCAATTGGGTTTTGTCGAAGGTTAGAGAAGTAACTCTATGGCGCAAAATATGTGATGTAACTTTCATTGATATAGTGAATTTCAATTTGTTGTATCCTTGGATCTAGCCCTCTTGGGGCCAACCATGAAAATCTTTGTGTTCTTGTGATAAGTGTGTTTCGTGCTTTATTGCTCGTATTATGGTTCACGCTCTCTCCTATTTTTGTTTCTAACTGGATAAATACATGATCTTTGTTGGATCCAACTTTTGGGATTCCTGTCCCGCATCTAAGAGGGTGGGTTCTTAAATCCTAATAAGTAGTATCAGAGCGTATGATTTATTACAAGGCTAGTGTTTGTGCATTTGGTTGAAGAAAATCACATGGAAAAGTATGCATGCGTTTTATTTGAGATGGAAAAATAAGATGGCAAGTACCATTTTTCGCAAGAATGATGAAAGAATTTATTTGGCAAAAGATGCTATCCATATGATGTTGGCATAGTGAGCAGATGATTTTCATATCAAGGTGGAGATCGTTGGATATGGTGATATCCAAAAGCACCCACATAAGAAAATATCATATTATGTGGAATCGAGATTGATATTGATAAGTTTCCTAAAGAAAATAAAAATCCGAAAAGATTAGGATTCTAGGATATGTCTCTTGGTTCTTGAGCTATATGTAACACCTATAGGAAGTTTCCTATTTAGTGTGGACTCCTAAGTTTATATATATGGGATGAAAGATAAAAGAATAGGTGTGCTCTATTTAGTTTACCATATGAGAAATGTGGCTTCCTCTAGAGAGAGAGAGCCAGAGGCCTTCTGTGCATGAGGGGCAAGGCCTCCCCTTAGAGAGAAGAAAGCTTCCTGTAGAGAAAAACACTACGATATGCCTCATGTAGATTGAGATGCTGGTTTATTGTAGAGAGACGATTCCATGGAGATTTTGAGTAGTTTCCTTTTTTAGTGAGAGAAAGACTCGGTTGCTTTCAAAGGTCTCTACTTGAGATATGTTCCTTTCTGAGAAAAACAGTGGTTTAGTGGTGGAATAGAGATATGTCCTTTTTTGAACATTGGTTTAGCTGTGGAATAGAAATGAGAGATCGGTGGGTCGTTCCGATTAGGAGAACGGGTCTAAAGGGTTTGTTCAATTAGGTTTAGTCGAGGGTTAGAGAGGTAACTTTATGTCCAAAAATATGTGATGTAACTTTCATTGGTGTAGTTGATTTCAATTTGTCGTGCCCTTGAATGTAGCCCCCTTGGGGTGAACCATTTAAATTTTTGTGTTCTTGTGACGTGTGTGGTTCATGTTTTATTTATCGTATTATGACTCGTGCTCTCTCTTATTTTGTTTCTAGTTGGATAAGTACATGATATTGATGGCATCTAACTTTTGAGATTCCTATTCCGCATCTAAAAGGGTTCTTAAATCTTAACACCAAAATGAAAGACGATGTCGTTCTTCATCTTGGTCATATTGGTACCATTGATTGAATTCATGTGACAATTCATTGACTCTATTTAAGAACGAATCATTCAAATTAGTGGGCACCGAACTATATCCAAATCCTTGAGTGTTAGTGTTTTGTTGCGCTCCTAATCTAAAATCCCCGAAGTTTGTCCATCCTTCATATTCACCTTATTTTAGTGTTGTGACATATTATATATATATCCTAAAAAATTAAGATATCAAAATCACCACTAGCTACGAAGAGAGAGAGAGAGATAGAGAGACGGATGCCAAGGAGAGAGAGAGAGAGAGAGAGAGAGAGAGAGAGAGAGAGAGAGAGAGAGAGAGAGAGAAGAAGAAAGAAAGAAAGAA